AGTTTATCTAAAACTAAGTTTTTAATTTCTTTATCAACATAATTTTCTATATTTTTTTGTGTTTACTAGGAGAAAAAATAACCCATATTTCAGATCCATATAGTACGACAGATCTAATGGTATGACTGAAAATATATATGTAATAATGTTTTTGCATTAGGAGAGGCATGTGTAAAAATGTTTCTCAACTTAAAAATAAGCTTTCCTTTCTTTGTTTAGTAACTCTTGTTTTGCTGCAGAAAAGTTACCAGAAGCTGTAAATATTACACCTAAATATTTGTACTGTTGTACATTTTCAATATATTCATTTTCATTTTTTATTTTAACATCCTTTTTTCTACCAGATTTGTTAATAAACTGTTGAGACGCAGAGATATATCTTGCCTATCGGTATGAAATTCAGAAAAAGACAATCTGATGGACAGCAAAACTGTTTATTTATTCAGTCATTGGACCATGATCTAGTCGGCAGGGCCTGAAAATGGTCGACAAATTGAGATGTACAGACAGTAATGAAACTTTATAGAAATATTGTTGTTTATTGTAAGTAGTTCCTATCAATATAACTTAAGCATAAAAACTTAACATTGAACATTGCTAATTAATTCAAAGTCATTGGACCATGTCCTTGGGGTAAGGGCCTCAAAATAATCGTCAAACTGATATGTACTGATAGTAATGCAACTTCATACAAAGTCGCCGGAAAAGCAATCCTTATGTATCGCTTTCCGCGACTTTCGCCGCAGGCGAGACAAAAACTAAATCTTTCATTTTCTTTAAATTAACTGTCATTTTCCATTTATTTGAAAAGGCAGCCAACTATTTACACAGTTTTGCAGTCCTTGCTCTGATGTGGACAGTAGTAATACATCATCTGCATATAACATTGTACTTTATTGATTTAGATATTAGTTCGACCGGATCACAGGACTGATCAAAATAGGTAGGGAGATCATTTACAAAAATATTAAATTGGGGCTTAGGTTATCTCCCTGTCTTACACCCAAGCCACATCTAAAAAAAATGTTCTTAATTTATCTACTTTAACACAGAAATATGAAGTCATGCTTTTGATTATACCGTAAAATTATACTGAAAACTTACTCAAATAAGTTTTAGCTTATAAAACATATGTAAATGAGATACAGAATCAAAAGCTCGCTTAAAATCAACAAAGTAGACATATCGTGATTAAGAATTTTTTTCACATATTTTATAAAATGCAACGGTGAATTTCAACAAGATTGTGGCAGATGACATCAAGGGAAATATGTAAGATAAAATTCAAAAATATAAATACTGATGTTTGAAAGACTAATGCATAATGACCATACGCATTCCGACGACTACAGTGAGAAGAACTATGTATGCAAATGTTCAAAAAGAAAATGCCTACAAAATGGTTAAACATAATATTATAATAATATAACGTATACTATTGTATGTTTTTGATTTCCGTGGGTGAAGTTGAATTGAAAGATAAGATATGATAAGATATTTTTTTTACAAATCATGGTGCCAAATATGAGCAGTTATTACACGAAAAAGCAAAGTAAATGATTGGAATGATTAGAGTGATTGAAATACAATAGAAAAATGTTAACAAATTTAAACAAAGTAACATATTAACAATGTCATTGACAAAACATTAAGTCTTTTGGAAGACACTGTGACCTAGAGAAAACACTTTTTCTTATTCAATTTATAGACCTAGGCCTATTTTTTTCAAACTTCATTGATATTTTCTAGAAGATGATTCTTTCGTTCTTCAAATAGGAAGTGCAATAATTAAGATAAGTTTGATAGTTTTTTTTTACTTTTAATATATGGTTTTGTTAAAAAAAAAAACACTTTACAATAGATAGTCTAAATCCAGGAATCTAGATATATGTCTAATGATTCCTATCCAAGATTCCTGGTTAGATTGGTTCATAGACTGAAAAATTTATTGCCTCCCATAAGATAATACTTGAAGGTTCAATTTCTTTTGTAAGATGTGCCATATTTTATCATATTCATTATTACACTAAAAAAGTGTCGGCAGCGAAATTGGTTCCCCTCTACATGCCATATTTGATGTTTTGTGTACTCAAAGTGAAAATTTACATAGTTTATAATGGATTTTCTATAGTACAAGATAATCAGTTTCTTTTGAAATAAAGTTATTCACATGTTGTTGTTTCTTATAAGGTATTTAATCCAAATTTAAGACCCATACAACAATATGGGTCGGAATGCATTGTTATAAACATGTAATAAAGTACTAGGTTTTAGGCTTTCTAGCGAAAAGGTCTTCCTTAATTTGAAAAAAGCTTTCATTCCTTTATTATACAGTTTTTTTTTCCTTTTGGAAGCTCCCAGATAATGAAAAATTTATTCCTAAGTATAAGTTACTCTGTACACATTATAAAGTCTGGTTTCCTATGGATATTTTAATATTTTTATGCCTAGTTTTACTGTGCGTATTGCTGTGTGTTTGTTAATTTCACATTAGCTAGAGGTATAGGAGGAGGGTTTAGATCTCACAAAACATGTTTAATCCAGAAACATGTTTGTGCCTGTCCCAAGTCAGGAGCCTCTGGCCTTTGGTAGTCTTGTATGTTTTTTTTTAAATTTTGGTTCAATTATATGTTTCAGAGTTTAGTGTGACGTCCATTATCGCTGAACAAGTATACATTTATATAGTTTAGGGGCCAGCTGAAGCCCGCCTCCGGTTGTGGGATTTTCTCGCTGTGTTGAAGACCCATTGGTGGCGATGGGCTGTTTTCTGCTTTTTGGTTGGGTTGTTGTCTCTATGACACATTCCCCGTTACCATTCTCAATTTTATCCAACAACTTGTTAAATCCCTTACCGATATAGCCATTGATATTCCACGTTGAAATTTTCTAATTTTTTTTGTATAAATCATTTGTGCTTACAATGAATAATAAAATGTAACTAACAATTTTGAAAAAATAGTTTGTCGATATCTTATACGGTTTCTGATGAGACCCTATTATAAGTCAAAATCAAAGATCAAAACATGACCTTGACCTTATTTTCTTTTTGCTGGACCCTGGACATGGAAAAGTATTCGGTTAAGCGGTGTCAGTTTCAAAAGCGTATAAACTGTTCGATATCATATACCAAATATCTAAGCGACATCTTGCGAAACAATCAAACAGCAGAGGAAAAAAATTAGGCAAAAGAAAAAAAAATAATTAAAAACCAATTGTTCAGAGAACAATTGAAGGTCTTTCCACCCCTAACGATATATTTGGATATGAAAATATTAAAATTCGGTTTAGAATGGCAGTTATACTGTCAAAGGATAGCTCATTGTTTGCTGATTCCAAAAATATATGGTTTCTATACAATTTTATTTGAAATAAGGGAGATAAATTGCTACTTCCGGTCTGAAAAATGGCATTTCCGATATTATTTAATAGTTAATTTGACACTGCTTTCAAAAATATATTATTCTATACACTCTTACATGACATAAGTACAAAAAAAGCCTCTTCCGGTTAACACAAGGTCACTTCCGGTTTGATTTTTCAAGGTTATATGGCTTGTAACCTAATGCTCAAAGTCCTATGGCTTATGATGTATAAACATGAATTTAAAGCAAAGGTCAAAATCTAGGATGTCAAATTTACCTATGGCCTTGACCTCAATTTCAAGGTCATAAACCAAGGACATCAAATCAGAAGATCCTAGGTCTTTATTATATATGGTTAATGAGTTATATTACTATACGCATAATTCTATATATAAGAGGGGCTAAAACTCCCATATAATGTCTACGCACCCTTTCAACCAAAATTTATGTGTTACGACATGTCGCTACTAACAATTTAGTTAAAATTATTTGTCGATATCTTATACGCTTTTTGAAAAGTAGTGAAAATAAGCCAAAATCAAAAATTTAGAATATGACCTTGACCTTTGACCTTGACCTTATTTTCTTTTCTTTTTTTTGGACCAAGGACCTCAAATCAAGGTCATAAAGTAAACACCTCAAATCAAAAGACCCTAGGTCTGTAAAATATATGGTTAATGAGTTATATCACCATACAACTAGTTTAAAATATGAGAGGGGAGAAAATCACATTTAATGTCAACGTACCCGTTCAACCAAAATTTTTGTGTTATGACATGTAGCATATAACAATTTAGTAAATATAAATGGTCGATATCTTATACGGCTATTGATAAAAAGTAATAACAAACCAAAGTCAAAAATTTTGAACATGTCCTTGACCTTTGACCTTGACCTCATTTTTCTTTAGTGGACCAAGGACCTCACATCAAAACACCTTATAAACACGCTTAAAGTTTACCAGTTACAAACACATAACACTTATTTCAAAATCATAAGGGGGGAATAACTCGCATATGAAGTCATCTTGCGCTTCGATCAAAATTAAACGTAACATTTTGAAGATATAACGAGCAATTTGGAAAACTAGATTTGTCGCTTTCTCTTACAATTGCGAACAAGAAAAACAGTGTTTGGGGAGATAACTCTTACAAAGAAAAGTGTTTCGTTAAACAGGGTCAGTTTCAAAAGCGTATTCGATATCATATACCAAACATCTTTTGAAACAAAATATAGAGCAAGAAAAAAATTAGGCGGAAGAATAAAAAAAATAATAATCAGAACAAAAACAAAAGGTCTTGCCACGGTTACGTAGAAAGACCTAATAATAATCAGAACAAAATCAATAGATCATTCCACGGAAAAGTGGAAAGACCTAATAAGCATACACTGGAACCAGTAAATATAAATTTTAGAATTATTAGTTGCATGTAACTGTGTGCCATAGTAAACCATGATGCATGACATCAACTACATATTATACATTTGTTAATGTTCATAAAATTATAAACTTTGTTTGGAAATCTATATAAATGTATATGATTTTATGCCTATATTTCTTATCATTTATAGATTAAAACAACACTATGTGTTTAGATATTATGAACTCCAAAAAACTGGTACTTCTGACATTTTTTTATTTTTTTTTTTCTAAATTTAGCTCTCAGTCATGTACCTTTAAACATGTTTAACAGATGATTAAAAGCTGTGTCAATGTGGTCTTTTAACTATCTTTCTCTGTCCTGATTTAAAATAATTTAAACTTTTGTAATGCAACATATTATTTGCACCAGTGTTTTGAGGCTCAATTTCACATAAAATAGAAAATATTGATCAATATACAGATCATACAAACAGTGAAAGTGGTACTAAAACTCTTAACTAGAGAAGTACGTGCATGTACATGTAGGAAACTACTAGTATATGTACTAGTAAGTTGTCTCGCAACTCTATGATGGACACTTACTACATACAGTTTACTCTTCATAAGCTAGATTTTTGAATCCGCAATTTTCCTCCGTCTTTTTCTCTGGAAAGTATAAAAAAGTAAATTAATTTTACATTCAAATACCAGATCAGCACAGGTGCTCATATAATCAACTCAATGTGTCCGTCTAATGTCGTGTTAACCGTGAGCTAAAACACTGCAAATTGAACAAAGGAACTATTGAAGTGGGCGGTACAGCCAGCTATAAAACAAGGGTTAACCCACTAATATTTTCTGAAGAAAATACCAGGGGCCTCGGTGGCCAAGTGGTCTAAGTAGTCGAACAAGCCAGTCAACACTGAGGTTGTGAGGTTGCGACTCAAATCTTAATTGACTAGGATTGTCAGTTTTCCTACCGAAAGTCGGTGTTTCTCTCCGGGCACTCCAGCTTCCTCCATAAAAAAAAACTGACCGCGGCACGAAATAGCAAAAAAAGTGCTGAAAGTGGCGTGAAACGCCAATCAATAAATTAATCAGAATATGTCTGTACAAAGTCAGGAATGTGACAGCTGTTTTTCACTCGTTGGTTGGTTACGTTTGATTTTGTCAGTTTTTATGGACTTCCCCTTTATTGAATTAGTCTTGGAGTTCGGTATTTTTTTTAATCTTTTTTTTCAGACAAGTTGTTCATATACAGGATAACATCACGTGTTTAAGGCTAAATGTTTCAGATTACGAACTTTCGACAAAGTTTAATTATTGTATATCAACAAGGAATTGTATATTTAAATTTGAATATAAAATTCCGTGATATCAAGTACACGAACATTGTTTTTATCTTCTTCGTATAATTAGTAGTAAATCAATGAGTATAATTGCTTTCGCCTTGTACATTTAGTTATAAACAAAAAATTAGAAAATTATACCTTTTATTGTTAATTGACAAACAAAAGAAATTTTAATGTATTTAAATAATTTTTAACCACTTGGTAGTGATTCCTGTCTTTAAAACCAATTATTGTGACCAAATGAAATTTCACGTTCTGGCATATTGAACATCAGGAATTTTTTAACAGGTGAACTGTTAAAGGCGAAGCCATGATAACCTCATCTGATCGATGCTTCAGTGGTGTTTTCAACCGATGCCAACATTTGAAAAAATTATATTAAACCTATGCCAATTATCTGTTAGTCAATTATACTTAGTCATGTTCATAAAACATGATGACCAAATATTGTCTGACCAAGAAAGAACATATCCACACCTTCGAGTGACACTACAAATTTATCCTTTCCCATTGTTATTAATCTTACAATCCTTAAAACTTTAAAAACTTTACAGTGTTAATATAGTGATACACACAATACATATTATATATTAAATAATATGTATATAAGCAGATATACGAAAGTTATACGAAAGCAAGTCAGACCACCCATTCAAAATCCCTATCTATTCAACTTGGCCTTTTTTTTCAATTTCCAAAGCTTTCTAAATATTTTACCGTAAGGTTAACTTGAAAGAAACCAGGTATATCCTGAATGGTACATCATGTATTACCTTTCTGCATGCCAATTTTCAATTTGAAATGAAACACGAAAGTTCGGAAGGCAACTACTACTAAAAATAACCCTGGTTTTCTGGAATTCTTAAATAAGTATACTATGGATAGATATAGGAAGATGTGGTATGAGTGCCAATGAGACAACTCTCCATCCAAGTAACAACTTATAAAAGTAAACCATTATAGGTCAAGGTACGGCCTTCAACACGGAGCATTGGCTCACACCGAACAGCAAGCTATAAAGGGCCCCAAAAATTAGTAGTGTAAAACCATTCAAACGGAAAAACCAACGGTCTAATCTATATAAAAACGAGAAACGAGAAACACGTATGAACTACATAAACAGACGACAACTACTGTACATCAGATTCCTGACTTAGGACAGGTGCAAACATTTGCAGCGGGATTAAACGTTTTAATGGTATCAAACCTTCTCCCTTTTTCTGAAACAATAGTATAACATCACAACATAGAAAGACACACTATAAAATATCAATTGGAAGGCTTAACTCAATCAAAAAACGTATATTAACACACAATGAACGAATAAATTTGATCTGTGATACCTGAATGCAAATACATAGTTAATAAAAATTATAAGGGATAAATAATTAAGGTCAAAAGTAAATAAACAGGTTGAAACAAAGTTAAAGTATGATACCACTGTGAAATGTTAAACAATATTTAGAAAAATCATCACTTTTGAAAAAACCTGCGTCATATTATACACAGGTAAATGAAATTAATTTTGTATGGAGCCCATTAATCCTAAATTTTTAATGAAAAACTATCGGATAAGTAAATTTGAGCTCAAATGGTCTCAATATATTTTTCTTTCACCAAAAGTTTCATGTCTGTAAATTTGTTGGTTAGTTTATCTAATCAATGACACCAAAAGCACTATTTATTTGTCAGTGAAGAGCTACATTTAAATTGGAGTTGGTGAATTGGTGATCTGACACCTAAAGAGGAAAATTAGTGTACTATTAATCATGTGATTAGTCAAGTTTCTTAACGGTATTTATATATATCGTTTCTTTTTGAGTTTCTTCATGTTATATCCAGAGCTCGTTCTTTATTACGTTTTTATGATATTTGTACATGTATTTTCTTATGTATGAACTATACGCTGTTTGGTGATTGTACTGATGCACATAATACAGGGTTTATCACGTTTCCCTTTTATCAGATTTTTTCATTTATCATATCTCAAAGTATACTACCCAAAGTATGACTCTAGAGACGGTCTTTCGAGCATAGGGTTTTGGATACAGGGTTTCGACATTTTGTAGGTTTTTCCTGGCCGTTGGGATTGTCAATGAAGGAAAAATTTTGGTATTTTATTATAATAACATTTACGGTATCAATTTTTCTGCACCAGATGCGCATTTCGACAATAAATGTATAACTTACACTACAGTTACTTGGTTTAGATGTTTATATCACACATACTATCTTGTTTTTGTTTCCTTATTCGTGATAAATACGGTGTCCCCTGGTTTAGGTTGGGCAATCGGCAAATTTATATTTGTTTATTATATTATTCATTTTATTGAGATGTATATATGGGATAAATGGCAATGAGGTTATATTATGCCACAGAGGGTGGCTTCCCGGGCGCATTACATTTGCGCCAATTTTTACAAAATTCAATCTTTCATTTGCGCCACAAGGTTATATTTAAATTGCGCCAAAAAATAAAAACTACATTTGCGCCATTTTACAGGTAACATATAACGGAACAGTTTAAAATATTCATTGCTACATCGTGAATGACATTTTTTTAGAGTATATTCACCCTGGGTAACTAAGTAAGTTCATACTCATTTCTAATATAAAACTGAGAGTCACTTAGGTTTTAAACTACATAGTGTTCACATGTATGAGGTGTCAAGATGGACATTGTCAGTTCTGAGACAAACAGGCCGTTAGTTTTCTCAATTGGATTGTTTCACATTTTTCATGTCGGGGTTGTTTATAGCCGACTATACGGTATGGGGTTTTCTCATTTTTGAAGACCGTACAGTTGCCTATAATTGCTTTCATCTACTTCATTTGAACTTTGGTGGATAGCTGTTTCATTTGCAATCATACCACATCTTCTTATCTTTATATGGAGGAAACAAGTCTGTATTTTTTTTTATAACCACACATATAGGTTATCCAGTGTACATGAGTACATCCGAGTCGTTGCTTAAAAGTCTTGTGTCAAAACAAACGTTTGGTTTTATTCCAGTGTATAGTGCTTTCTTTTAGGTTTCATGATCTCGTTGATTTATAACAGAACTGTGTTTTAACATTATTATGAAAAGTCTCTTATTAAGAACTATCAGTGTATAGTGCTTTCATTATGGTTACGATGACTGATATCGGAGGAATATGTTTTATTATGCAATCAAAAACTGCGTTTTATAGTTATTATTAAAAGTCTCTTTTGAATAAAACTATTTTTTTTATACTATTTACCTGTATTTAACAAATGAAATGTTCTATGGCGCAAATGAAAGATTATTTTGGTGCAAATGAAATGCCAATTGGCGCAAAAGCAAAGCACCGGTCTTCCCAATTGTACCACTTTTGAAATTACAGGTAAAAAAGAAATGAAATTTTGTGGGACAATCTGGAAGATGATTGTGGGACAATCCCATAGTACATGAATTACCCCGGAGAGCCAACATGCATATTGATTAGTCTTGTAAATTTACACAAGTTGTTAAAGGGAAATTAGCTGTCAAAATCATGTTCACCGATTTGACTCAAATTCTCACAATTGACTTATAACATACTAAAACGTATATCCAAATCATAAAAAGTCTAAAATAAATAAAACAATTCATGACGCATGAACACGATAATATGTTTCCGCATTTCGTGTGTATTTTAGTCTAGACGTCATCTAATTAAACCATCGAGGTGACATCCGAAGACTGCCGACGGTCATACATAGATATAAGAAGATGTGGTATGAGTGCCAATGAGACAACTCTCCATCCAAGTCACAATTTATAAAAGTAAACCATTATAGGTCAAAGTACGGTCTTCAACACGGAGCCTTGGCTCACACCGCACAGCAAGCTATAAAGGGCCCCAAAAATAACTAGTGTAAAACCATTCAAACGGGAAAACCAACGGTCTAATCTATATAAAAAACGAGAAACGAGAAACACGTATGAACCACATCAACAAACAACAACTACTGAACATCAGATTCCTGATCCAACCCGTTATAAACATAAGCATAGATATAAATAGATAGCGACCTCGTGCAATTGGATTTTTCCAGGTCTGTTTGATTTCATATTATAGGTTAAATAAATATGTTAATCATCGTTTTTACCTGTATAAGAACGAGTTTTTGTGGATCGAATCAGTCAACCAAATGGTTTACCCTTGTTTCACTTCCAATGTTGACATTCTTTTCCTTTTGATAGCTGAACACGTCTAGATCATGCGTAACCCATCTCTAGCTAAGGTGTTAAATTGAAGGTCACATAAATACGAATTCAATGAGGTAGAATTATTCACTTGCAAGTGAAT